GAGCTCCATCACTTGGCATTTTAAATTATATAGATTCTGCTTTTGCTTGCTGGAATCTAGGAGTTACTTTAATTTTGTCTTCTGCTTAAATTACTATTAAAGTTACTTTAAGATTAATTTCTTAGTTAATACAGAGTCAGCATAACTTTATGGCCAAACAATAGAGGAAAACTGCTCAAAAACATACTCCTTATCTTAACAAAAATTTGGGGGAAGTGCCTACTGTGTTTTATCTAGTTTCGTTGTATTTTCGATAAGCTTTTGGCAGACTTATTTTCAGAAATAGATTAGCCTAATAACCCATTACAGTCCAGGCCTTAAATGGACTGCCTGATTCCTTTTCACAATAAAATAAGATTTCTCTTTATTGTGGTTTGAATGCATAGTATCTTTCCATCTTGGAACACTAAATTCTATTTGTTCAGTTCCTTTTTTCCCAGTCCCAAAATAGAAAGGATATCTGTCTGTGCCAGACAGCAAGGCTGAAGTATTAATCTGTGTTTATTTCTTGTAAACTACTCTTGAGAAGAAAACATTTAAAACTTTTTCCCTTAGTTTATAGATTGTCTTACATAATGCAGTTACTTTCTTACAGCATACTAAAGCCATATCCATATGAGGAGGAAACAAAGCTGAAGGTGTAAAGTGATTTTAGGAAACATTCATGAGATTACTCAGATCATAGCCAATAACTACTCATATTGGTGGCTAGTTTTCTGCAAGGGTCCAGTTTACCAAGGCAGCTGCTGTTCTTCCTCCTCCTCCTCCTCTTCTTTTTCTTCTTTTCTTTTCTTTTATATGGTGCTACACTAAAGCTTTTGCTATAGTGGTAATATAGAGAAGTATTTGTCTCCATGTCACTGCTTCTTGTATCATCCTGGATATTTCCTTTGAATTGTCATTCCAAAAAACACTTAACTTGCCAAACATGTTTATTGCTTCAAATCGTGATGAATTGTTTTTATTATTATTGTTGATGCTATAAGAAGGCATCAGTTTCATTATACTGTAGATATACTCTTAGCCTTTTCTGAAATATAAAGGCAAATTGTAAAAGGCACACCACTGTTCTTAAAGAAGCAGTGGAGTAGTACTTCATAGCTGCAGATGTTCACAGAGTGTGTTTACAGTTCATGAAATACATAGTAGACCATGATAAACTCTGTTGAGGATGACTCATGAAGAGATATGATGTAATCCTGTGATCTTCTTGATTTATAGAACTCTCTTGTTAGGAATGGGAAACCATTTTTCCCATTGTTTAGATAAATCTACCTTTTTGCATTAAGCTGTCCCAACAGGTATGTACATGCTCTTTATTCCTTCTGAGAAACAGGCTCTGCTGACTATTGTAGAAAGCATGTTATGTTTCTTAGGTTCACACACCCTTTTCCTTGACATTACTAAATTCATCCTCACTCTTAGATTTAGCTTGATGTTTTTTTCCATGCACCTTGACAGAGGCATGACTTTTGCTCAAAAGCTGAAAAAGTGAAATTTGATAGCTGCTTTGTGTTTGGAGAACGACTGCATTCTGCTTTTTAATCAATGACATAGCAAGTGACTATTGACTTAGAGAAAACAAGTGACATTTCACAGGATTCAAACTGAAATTATGCGCAGTGTTGGCAAATATTTGTTCCCAGGCCTGATTTTTCTGACATGGAAGCATTGACAGAGGGGGAATTAATTGTTGCAGTGCATACTATTTTTTTTCTGCAAAATCCCCTGCCACTAAGTAGTTTTATACCAGTTAGGCTCACTTCCTGTTTTTGAGCTAAGCTGGAAGTTATCAAGATAACGAGTAGTAATGCCACTTAGGTGGGAGAACTGGATATAGAAAGATCAAGCAGCCCTGTTTTACAATTCTCTTGTAAATTCCTCTCCTTCCCCATAACACATTAGCAATTCTTTCTCCCTCGCACATGGATTTGCATTATGAGGGAGAGATGATGTTAACAATTTTGTTGCTTCCTTTGCAATGTAGTTCTCCATTTCCATGAGATTTTGTAACGAGGAATAGCATAGTTTAAATTATAATAGCTGGTAGTTTGTTTGCAGGGTTTTTGTTTGTTTGCTTTTTGTGCCTTCAAGTCACTGTTGACTCCTGGCAACTACCCGGACACGGACACGTCCCTGCAGTTTTCTTGGCTAGGCTTTTCAGAAGTGGTTTGCCATTGCCTGCTTCCTAGGGCTGA